TGATCGCCCCTAACTGCCTCTGCCTGCCTGCCTGATCACCCTTAACCTCCCTGCCTGCCTGCCTGATCGCCCCTAACTGCCTCTGCCTGCCTGCCTGATCTCCCCTAACTGCCTTTGCCTTGGCCCCCACCATTGCGGCTTCATCTGGAAGGACGTCCAGAATGACATCTGGAAGGTCATTCGGCTGTCTGGTCTAATTAGCATATTATGCTTTTATTATTATAGATGATGAACAATCTGAAAGGAAATTGCAAAGATAATTCCATTTACAAAAGCATCAAGAAGAATAATATACTTAGAAAAAAACTTAACCAAGGATGTGCAATTTAAAAAACACTGCTGAGAGAAATTTAAAAATTGGAACTCGTCTTGCCCTAGCTGGTTTGGCTCAGTAAATAGAACATCAGCCTGTGGACTGAAGGGTCCCAGGTTCAATTCTAGTCAAGGGCACATGCCCGGGGTGCAGGCTCAATCTTCAGTAGGGGACATGCAGGAGGCAGCTAATCAATGATTCTCTCTCATCATTGATGTTTCCATCTCTCTCTCCCTCCCTTCCTCTCTGAAATCAATAAAAATATTTTTTTAAAAAATTGGAACACATCTCATCTTCATGTATTGGAAGACTTAACATTATTAAGATATTGGTACTACCCAAAGCAGTCTACCAATTCAATGCAATCACTATCAAAATGCCAATGATGTTTCTTTTTAAGAAATAGAACAGTCCCTAACCGGTTTGGCTCAGCGGATAGAGCATCGGCCTGCGGACTAAAGGGTCCCAGGTTCGATTCCGGTCAAGGGCATGTACCTTGGTTGTGGGCACATCCCCAGTGGGGAGTGTGCAGGAGGCAGCTGATCGATGTTTCTCTCTCATCGATGTTTCTAACTCTCTATCCCTCTCCCTTCCTCTCTGTAAAAAGATCAATAAAATATATTTTAAAAAAATAAAAAGAAAATAAAAGAAAAGAAATAGAACAAAACCCATTCTAAAATTCATATAGATTCTCAAGGGATCC